CAATTAATAGGTAGAATCAGGCCGATATAAAATGAGGGAACATTTGAAAAGATATGACTTTAATAAACTTTTTTGATAAGAAATTAGTGATAGAAAAGGTAGTGATATGATCAGTGTAGAATAAGTAATGATACCATTTTACAATACACCATAGTGGGCGGAAAATACACTGCAAGTTATAAATTTTGTAAGGCTAGCGTCATTGTTACTAGTTTACGTTATACGTTTTCAAATTAAAAACACATGGAATACAGATGATTTTATCTGGGTTTAGAAGTGATCTCTACATTTTTAAGCACTCAGTTACATTCTCGCAAATAACGAAGTATAAATAAAAGTATGATTTCTATAGAACCAATAAAGACGATAAACACTCGTAGATAATCCACCCATTGACAACTTTGATTTTTCGAGTTAGGATTCAGTTAGCTTAAAAATTAAGGGACAATCTAGGAGCTTTGAAAGACTGTATTCAGTTGATGAGTTAAAAACCCCCAACTACATTACAAAACAGCAGCAAAAACTAGGATTTCCGAACAGGTTATCACTAGTTTATTTTTATCACCTTTGCCATATACAAAGCATTTCTAAATCTAGGTATTATTCACTTAAATAATCTTGTCAGTAGTTAAGTGAACAAACTAAGAATATTCATTCAATGAATTCTTGAAGTGAAATTAGAAATTGGATAGTATTGGCACATAGGTATAGGTGAACTATTTAGCAACTAAATATGGTATCACAGTAATCCAAATCTACTTTTAACTTTATCAACTGGAACAACTGGAAGTAAAGCGATTTGATTTGTTAAAATATTGTGATGCGTGCAACAGTTGTAACTCCGCCTGGAGTCCCTTTCCGGGGGCTACTGCCGGTCCCAAGCCCGGATAAAGGAGGAGGGTTGGGCATGGGGTTAGCGACCCCATCCCGTAGAAAACTAACTCGCTAAAAAAACGCTAACCAGAAATAATTATTCAAACCATTTAAACTCTGCCCTGGGAGTCAGGAGGTCTTCGTTTAGAAGAATTATGACGCCTCATGATGAAAGCCGAGTTTCTTCGGAAGTCACGAGGCCGATGCCCCTTCTGACAACCAGAGCGACCATTTATTTAGGTACATGGAATGCTCGCACAATGTGGGAGACTGGGAGAGTTTTCCAAATTGCTGCAGAAATGAGGAGATACAATTTAGAGGTGCTTGGGATCAGTGAAACACATTGGACGCAAGTTGGACAACAACGACTAGCTTCAGGGGAGCTGCTGTTATACTCCGGACATGAACAAGAAAATGCCCCACATACACAAGGAGTTGCATTGATGCTGTCCAAACAAGCACAAAATGCACTTATAGGATGGGAATCTCATGGACCAAGGATCATCAAAGCCTCCTTCAAAACAAAGAAAACGGGGATTACAATGAACGTCATCCAATGCTACGCGCCTACCAATGACTACAATGAAGACGCTAAAGATCAATTCTACGATAGGCTGAAGTCAATCGTCGAGAAGTGCCCAACAAAAGACCTGACTATTCTGATGGGAGACCTAAATGCCAAGGTTGGAATTGACAACACCGGATATGAAGAGATCATGGGACGACACGGACTGGGAGAAAGGAACGAAAATGGTGAGAGATTTGCAAATCTATGTGCCTTCAATAAACTGGTCATAGGCGGGACTATATTCCCACATAAACGCATACACAAAACCACATGGACTTCACCGGATCACAGCACACAGAACCAAATCGACCATATCTGCATCAACAAAAAGTTCAGGAGGACGATGGAGGACGTGAGAACAAAGAGAGGAGCTGATATAGCATCAGATCATCACTTGCTGGTCGCCAAGATGAAATTGAAACTCAAGAGGCACTGGACAACGGGGAGGACAATATCACAAAAATTTAATACGGCTCTTCTTCGGGATAATGACAAACTCAATAAATTCAAGATAACCCTCAGCAATAAGTTCCAAGCCTTTCATGATCTACTCAATGGAGAAGGAACTACTATGGAGAGCAACTGGAAAGAGACAAAAGAGGCAATCACTTCAACATGTCATGAGGTTCTGGGCCAAAAGAAGCACCATCACAAGGATTGGATCACGGTCGATACACTGGATAAGATTCAAGAAAGGAGGAACAAGAAAGTAGCAATCAATACCAGTCGAACAAGAGCAGAAAAAGTCAAGGCACAAGCTGAATACACAGAAGTAAACAAGCAAGTGAAAAGGAGCATCAGAACCGACAAACGTAAATATGTGGAAGATTTGGCAATGACGGCGGAAAAGGCTGCCAGAGAAAGAAACATGAGACAACTGTATGAAACAACAAAGAAACTCTCCGGAAATCACCGTAAACCAGAACGACCAGTGAAAAGCAAGGAAGGCAAGATAATCACCAACATTGAAGAACAACGAAACAGATGGGTAGAACACTTCAAAGAACTCTTGAATCGACCAGCCCCACTGAACCCACCCAACATCGAAGCAGCACTCACGGGCCTCCCAATTGATGTTGGCGCACCGACAATTGAAGAAATCAGCATGGCTATCAGACAAATCAAGAGTGGCAAAGCAGCAGGACTAGACAGCATTCCAGCAGAGGCACTGAAAGCAGACGTAGCGGCAACTGCAAGGATACTCCAAACTCTCTTCAAAAAGATCTGGGATGAGGAACAGGTACCAAAAGACTGGAAAGAAGGACTTCTAGTCAAAATACCAAACAAAGGCGATCTCAGCAACTGTGACAACTACAGGGGAATCACTCTTCTTTCAATACCGGGAAAAGTCTTCAACAGGGTATTGTTAAACAGGATGAAGGACGACGTAGACGCCCAACTTCGAGACCAACAGGCAGGATTCCGTAAGGATAGATCGTGCACAGACCAAATCGCAACTCTACGGATCATTGTGGAACAATCAATTGAATGGAATTCATCACTCTATATCAACTTCATCGACTGCGAAAAAGCATTTGCTAGCGTGGACAGAACAACCCTATGGAAGCTTCTTCGACACTACGGCGTGCCTCAGAAGATAGTCATTATCATATGGAATTCCTATGATGGATTAAACTGCAAAATCGTACATGGAGGACAGTTGACAAAGTCGTTCGAAGTAAAGACCGGTGTCAGGCAAGGTTGCGTACTCTCACCTTTTCTCTTTCTCCTGCTAATCGACTAGATCATGAAGACATCAACATTTGAAGGGAAACACGGGATACAGTGGACAACTAGGATGCAATTGGATGATCTAGACTTCGCAGATGATCTGGCTCTTCTATCGCACACGCAACAACAAATTCAGGAGAAGACGACCAGTGTAGCAGCAACCTCAGCAGCAATAGGTCTCAATATACACAAAGGGAAAAGCAAGATTCTCCGATACAACACAGCATGCAACAATCCTATCACAATTGACGGAGAAGATTTGGAAGATGTAAAAACCTTTACATATTTGGGCAGCATCATCGATGAACACAGTGGATCTGATGCAGATGTGAAAGCACGGATCGGCAAAGCAAGAGCAGCATATTTACAACTGAAGAATATCTGGAACTGAAAACAATTGGCAACCAACATCAAAGTCAGAAGTTTCAATACAAATGTGAAGACAGTTCTGCTGTATCGGTCAGAAACTTGGAGAACTACCAAAGCCATCCTCCAGAAGATATAGGTGTTTATTAACAGTTGTCTACGCAAAATACTTCGAATCCTTTTGGCCAGACACTATTAGCAACAACCTACTGTGGGAGAGAACAAATCAGATCCCAGTGGAGGAAGAAATCAGGAAGAAGCGCTGGAATTGGATAGGACACACATTGAGGAAAGCACCGAACTGCGTCACAAGACAAGCCCTCATATGGAACCCTCAAGGTCGAAGGAAGAGAGGAAGACCAAAGAATACATTACGCCGAGAAATGGAGATAGATATGAGAAAAATGAACAAGAATTGGATGGAACTTGAAAAGAAGGCCCAGGACAGAGTGGGTTGGAGAATGCTGGTCGGCGGCCTATGCTCCATTGGGAGTAACAGGCGTAAGTAAGTAAGTAAGTAAGCAACAGTTGTAAAATATAAACACACTTTGATACAAGTCTACTTTTATCTAACCAGGTAAAAACCTAGTAAGTAAATGTGTCGCTTTAACCCCATTAATCATTAACTCTTCGAAAAATCTGTCTGAACGTTTGAATCAGTTACCTAAGCTTTTCTATAACCCCAGGTCAAATCTACACAAGAAAGAGCGAAATGTGGAAAAAGTGCCTTACTCTAAGGTTAACTTATGTACAGAAAATCGAGAGTATTTATGGCATTTCAGATGACCTTGAGATTCTAGAACCATAGTAAATAAAGTATCAGGATAAGTAATCATACGATCAGAAGTGTGACACTTGATTCACCACTTTCCAGATGTTCCTGAGAAACGTCCATTCAACGCTGATTAGATAAAATGTTTTTCAGCGTTTACAAGGCCCTTATGAACTTTTTAAGGAATTATTCGGGTCTTCCCAACATCTACAAAATAAAACTTCAGCTTGAGGTCTACATCACATTATATATATATATATATATATATATATATATATATATATATATATACCTATTTATTATATTCCATGCACGGATATGGATAAAAGTCAACAATTCACTCTAGGATTTACTTGACAAGTCAATCCACGTAATACAGCAACTGATCAGATCATTATATTAACTCATTCAAAATACACAATATATGCAATTCTCACTTCCTACAAACAGTGTACATTTGAGTTTCTGAATATATTTTATGAAACACATCAATTCTCAAATTGAATTGTCAAATGAATCTAGTTATAAGATGAAACCAATCTAAAGAATATGCGAAATTATTAGGCATCAGGATTTATAATCATTGGAATTGGACAGTACAAAACTACATAACAGTAGTTATAAAAGGCATCTACAAGTTGACTTCAAATGAATACATCTTAGCTAGAATAAAAATGAATGGGAACTAACCATGAAATTTCTGAGTAGCTGAAGAATGTAGAGGGAACTGACTGACTACTTTTGATGTTTGTTCATGTGGTGAATAATGCGCCACAAACTGGGTGTCATATGACTTCTTTACACCAAAATTATCGGGATTACTATGTTTATACCCACTAAACTGAGGTTGTTTTGAGAATGAGTAACCAATCTAGAATTAGAAAATTATGAAAAGATCAATAGGCTACTTACATATATAAGCATACAGTTATTATACTAATTAAAACTTACCATCAAGTTCATGTTGTTTTGATGAATATATGTGCTGACCGTGCACAAAAAACACTAACAATCATTAGGAATGCACAATGGATTGAAGAGTATTATAAGATCGATGAAATATATAGAAACTGTCCAAAGTATATTTACCAATTTAATTAAATTCATCATATACTATGTACTAGTTTGAAAATAACATCCAGAGAATATATAATTCATGTAAGTAATACTTACAAACATTAAAATTAATGGAAATGATTGATTTATTATTTATTGGTGATAAAAAATTTCAGAATTTAATAAATCAAATGCATTTATATAAATATGGTTACACAAAACTTTTATAAAAAAAGAAAACTAAGCCATCTGAAGTTGATGTATTACCTGGGATAGTGAACCAGATACTAGACGCTGTGGAACTTGTGATACCCATAAATTGAAGGAATTTTGAGGACTCAAAGTAAAGCTTAAACCAGAGTTCAGTGCGTTTTGACTGCCATTTCCCGAAGGTTGCCCAATCCATAAGGCAGCAAAACATAAAGCAAAGACCATTAAACAAGTGGAAGGTGAACCATTACTATGAGTAATTCGAGTCACACAATCAACAGAACCATTGCCATTCGTATTCAGATGATTTGTTTGAATTCCAGTTTTGTTTGAATCATTGGAGCATGTCGAAGTTGAAGTGTTACTAGATTTGGATTTACTGACAAGTTGCTGTAATAGACGCAATTGACCTAACAAAGAACGATTTGTACTTTCTAAGCCATCCACACGACGTTTTAAATCAATATTTTCTTGTGAATAAATACTGACTCTAAATAATAAAAATATACATATCCACAATTACGAGAATAAAAGAAATGAGATACAATCATGAAATAGTAAGTAGTGAATTTTTAAAATGAATACAAGCCAATAGACGTTAGGTAAAATGATCAAGGTACTCGCTAAAGAAATTAAAGACTTTAAAAACTATTGATTTTACTGCTTGCTATGTTACCCATGTACTTTGGATAAAAGCTTGAAATTATACTAATTTTTGAAGGAGTCATGCAAGCTATTAGATTGCATAAATCGATGAACGGACAGTAAGTTTATAAAACTCAAATAAATCACTGAGAGATAAGCGCTTTATTCAGTGAATGAACGGACGATTATACATTTTCTTATAATACCCATATATTAAACTCTTTCCAAAAAAAACGGTTGAGAGAACAGAAACTGACTAATAATTAAAGAATGAATTAAACAGTTGGTTTAAGGATACAATAATCAATCAAAAAGCCATACTTTCACTAAGAGAAGAACTGAATTGTTACTGAGTCAGAAAATTAGTAAATCTTAGTGTCTCAAACAAGAAGCTGTAAAAAGAGAGAACTCCGGATTAAATTGAACTTTTAATTAAAATATCTAGTCTGGTTAACACATTATTGATTGCTATGGATAATGACATATGTAACAAGAAAAAAAATGAGAGAACAGTACTCGAGTTACAAAAACTCAATTATTGATTAGTGTAAATTAAAAAGTTAACTTAATTACGCCAAAGAATATGGTTAATAGTCGATTTATACGTAGAGAGTAATAATAATAATACAAAGAAAAAATGTGACAAATGATGAGTGAAATAGACGATGAATTATGCTCTTGGCTATAAAGGAAAGAGTTCCAGTAAGAGTTAATTAACAATATGCTAAACAAGATAAAATGCACTTGCTAAACTAAACATGATTTTCAGAAGCATATAAACGAGTGTGTAAAAAATAATAATCACTTAATTTAAGAACGTACAATAATATATTGGTATATAGAATGAATCGACTATTCATAGTAATAATCTTAGACCTTATTTTATTCCCAATTAAACCAATAATAATCAGAAAATAAGACTACATATATCTATTGTCAAAAAATTACTTCTAGTTGGACAATGTATATTGATTAAACACAAAAGGAATAAAAATAAAAAGAACAATAAGACATAAACAACTAACACACAAGAGTTGAGAATTAAATCTAAATTATTTGGAGGTACAAATACACCTTTACCTTTCCGTCTGCATATATCTATCCTAATAATTAGGGTGTTATGTATGTTGCTGAAATAAAAGGTCAGATCGATACAAGAGACCACTTAAAAATGTCAAGGACAATCTCAGGATACGATATCACATAGACATAAATAAATGAACATCAACACGGGCGTACAAATGTTCAATCAGCTAAACTTCTCAATACCAGACAGAAATATATAATTTATAATCCCGTTTATTTCCAATAACGGGGATTTCTAAAAAAAACATTATGTATAATGACACAATTTATGTACATTGATAGATGAAAACTGACGTTAAAAAGTCTTCTCAGAACACCTAATGGGACGGCTGGAATTAATTATAATGTTATCATTAGCTTTCGAATGAAAGCTTAAACATTAGGTTCACAGTACAGACTAGCAGGAAAATAAATTGACATTTTCTCCTCAGTGAAGCGGTCGACGCACTTAACTGCATCTACAGTTGGGACATTTTCTCCTACTTAGTGGAAGTGGCGTGGTGGTTGTGCAAACTGAAAACTTAATATTCGTTTATGCACTTTCGGGTTGGAACTTTGATTCATTTAGTTTTGAACGATTGGTAGTTCAAACCAATGGTACATACTTGACAGATGAGTTACATGATAAAATGGAGCCTTGATGTTTTGAAAAGATTGTACACGAGTTTGTGAAACAGTATCCTGAGAACCATATTATACAGCTGTGTTTCTTAATGTTTGCACTTTGATGTTGAGAAGGTACATTTTGATAGAATTTAACCATATTATGTTAATTATTCCGTTAATAATCACAATTATCAGATATTGATGTAACGTAAGCGGGCTGACAAGAAAATAAACGAGTTTACTTTTTACCAAGCAATTTTGTTTGTTGTTTAATTGTGCATAAAATGATTTTTAAACATAAATGGTACATTAGGAAATAATATGGCTGACATTTATTGCACGGTTATTTTGATTCCTGACCCCTAATGCTGAAATTGTGATTGGTTAAATTGTTTTTGAAAATGTGTGCTCATGTGTTGAGGAACATTGTTGCGAATGGAACGCTACCAGATACAACGTAGTTAACAACATGTTATCGGTGCCCGTGACAACGTTCGAAACAATACAGTCAGTATTTTGTAAGTTATTTACGCCCATGGTTTGGAGAAAAGGTGATCAGTCGAAGAATAGTTACATTTTATATCAATTTTCAGAGATTAATAACTAATAATTACCATTTTGAAACCAATCACTTCAATGGACAAAATAAGATGAAAAAATACAAAACTAACCGTGCGATAGTCCAATATCATCCTATCATTTTAAATTTATCTGAGTTCATGAGCATACATTATTGTAATGACTCAGTCAATTGTTGTCATACACAACGTAGAACTTGGCACATACATGCATTAATTAAAATTCTCATACCCACTCATCACGGTGAGATACTGAAGTAGCACGAGTAGGAGTAGTATTAGCGGCAGTAGAAAAAATTAGACACAAAAGATATGATTTGAGAAGAAAGATTCATCGAATCGAAAGATTTACAAAAACGATTAAGCTTAGAATACTAGGAAAGACAAAGTATGAATGCATTTGTGTCATTGCGAATAATTCTAAACTATGTCACTGAAGGTCTCCAAGCATTGTTTAAGGTGATCGCGGAGATCCCAGCCACGTAGTCTGAGTCAACATACACGGATCAGTCCAACTGTTTATGACTAAGTGGGTTGTCGCGAATTTATCTGACCATCCATGGCTTTCATCATACGCCTTCTCGAAGATGAGTAATGAAAATCCCAATCACACTAATTGACGAAGTTTAGCAACCTCATCAATTAACTTGATATACTTGCCTAATAACTTGTGTTTTACCACAGCAATGATCACTTGCAGATTCCAAAATACACAAGCAATGAGATAAAGGCATTTGGTATGGAATGGTAATAACATACGAGTATTCTTTATTTTTAAAGGACACAAACTAAAACAGCGAACCGTTGTGCAGTATACTGGTCCTTTGGTCGACATACGGACATATTTTTTAAGCCACGATAGATAAAAGTTGGCAAAAGCCAATCACGAGCTTTAATTATGCATTGAATCATTATAGAGGTTAATAACATAGACACCATATTAGTCAAACTGATACCTTTCCTTTACTATAAACTCAACCGATCAGCAACGGCAACCAGTTAGGTATATCACGTTCAGTCCTCAGACTAATTTTTGGTGGACTAATATTTTAGTTAAAATCTGGGAGTTGAACGTAATCCCATCTGACTGGTCACAATCACTTATCGTCCCAATATTTAAGAAAGGGTCAAAATCATCCTGTGACAACCATAGAGGGATTAGTTTGACTAATATAGTATCTAAAATACTAGCCTCGATAATTATCGGGCGCCTAACTAAGACTCGTGAACTACAAACATGAGAAAATCAAGCTGGCTTCAAACCTGGTCGTGGCTGCATCGACCACATATTCACAGTTCGTCAGGTTCTAGAACACAGGCATACTTATCGGCGTCCGACAATGGTGGTTTTTCTTGACTTAAAAGCAGAATTTGACTATGTAGACCGAAAGGTTCTGTGGCAGTGTCGGCTATTGAAAGGTGTACCTCAGAAGTATGTAACCCTTGTGAAGGCTCTTTACTCGAACACTACTAGTCAAGTGAGAGCTTATGGCGAACTGTCATCTGATTTCGCAACCTCAAGTAGTGTCCGACCTGATCATAGACACGCTGATGGAAATAACATTCTCGTCGACTGAATTCTCGGGTATTGATCTCCTACCAGGACGCCCATTTATCGACTTAGAATACGCAGATGACATAGTTCTGTTTGGTGAAGACGCTGATAAAATGCAGTCTTTTGGTAGCACTAAGCAACAACGCCAGAGGTATGAATACAGTGGTCTTGAGTGCTGTTAGAATTATGAGGGCAGTTATCACTTCCCGGTCGCCCTCACCGTGGAAGGGTTCTGCTGAAGGTACCTGAAAATGAAATTGGGTTAAAGGTGGTTATAGTGACCTGAGAGCGTAACCGCAGTGCCCAAGGGACAGCTGCTTGTGGTAGGTCACACACGATTTTTTTATGAGTAGTTTTTGTGTTAGATCCGTACATGTTGAGACCTTACCGCCGGAGACGGATATCCGTGGGATAAGGCGAGGTGTGCATTTTTAGGGTCAACCTTTTCTAACCCCACCCCTCCTTGTGGGAAGGCAGCATCGCTGTTATGCTGGCTGTCTGAAGGAAACACCTTACTGCTGTCACACCTCTGTACGGTCAGCAGTACGACTTCAGACCTTGGATTTGTTGCTTTTAGTCTTACCGCTCTTCAACCGACCTGTCTGGCATGGTAGGACCTTGAGGAACGGTTGTTCTAGCCAGTATAGCTCAGTTGCTTCATCACGATATGCAAGCTCGACCACCACGTCAAGGTAGCAACAACGCCAGAATGTTTGGAATGCGCTTCTCTCCCTCTAAATGCAAGTTGTTGCTTCAGGACTGGTCTGCGTCAACACCTGAACTAAGGATAGGAAGTCTGATCAGCCCTAATGGGTTGGTGTCTGACGAAATCTCAGCACGGATTCGAAAAGCTCGTTTGGCTTTCGCCAACTTATGTCACCTATGGCGCAGACGAGATATCCGTCTATCAATAGAAAGACGAGTATACTGCGCGGCAGTTCGTTCCGTTCTACTATACGGCTGCGAAACATGGCCGTTAAGAGTAGAAGATACTCGTTAGCTACAAGTATTTGACCATAG